TCTTTGAAAAGAGAAACTAGACTTCTGGCCAAGATGGAGGCATAGGTAGACACATTGTGTCTCCTCCCACAACCAAAATAAGGACAGCAACAATTTAGAAACAAAATAACAACCAGAACTGTCAGACAACCAAGGAGTTAAAATAGACACATTCATCCAGACTGGTAGGAAGGGTGGAGTGGGGCAGCTGGGCAGAGAGGGGTTGTGGCACAAAAAGCGGTGGTACCGGGCACATAAGGCATTTTGGGTGCACAAGACTGTAGTGGGTGGACCCTGGGTGCTCAGGTGGTGGCTGGTAGACCCTGGGCCTGGGGTGGCAATGGGCAGAACCAGCGAGGTGGCGACTGTGAAGCAAGACACTGCACACAAGGTGGCTTGCTGGCTGACCATGTGGTCCCACATTCATGCACAGATAAACCAAGCAAAATTGGGGAGACAAACTGCGCAACCCAAGGTCCCAGATTGAGAAATAGAGCCTCGGGGCACTGATTGAAAACACCTGTGGGGATTGAGGTGCTGGGAAAGACTCCCAGCCTCACAGGAGAGTTCGTTGGAGAGACCCACAGGGTCCTAGAACATGCACAAGCCCACCCACATGGGAATTAGCACCAGAAGGGCCCAGTTTGCTTGGGGGAAACGGCGGAAGGGGCTGAAAACCGACAGAGAGTGGAGCAAGTGCCCTTGTTCCCTGTGAACCCCGCCCCCACATACAGCGTCACAACCCAGTGACTGGGTTGTCCCACCCTGCTGAACACCTAAGGCTCCACCCCTCATACATAACAGGTGCTACAAGACCAAAAAATGGCCCAAACGGAAGAACAGATCAAAGCTCCACAGCAAATACAACTAAGTGATCAAGAGATAGCCAACCTATCAGATGCATAGTTCAAAGCACTGGTGATCAGGATGCTCACAGGATTGGTTGAATTTGGTTGCAAATTAGATGAAAAAATGAAGGCTACGCTAAGTGAAATGAAGGAAAATGCACAGGGAACCAATAATGATGGGAAGAAAACTGGGACTCCAATCAATAGAGCGGACCAGAAGGAAGAAAGAAACAACCAAACAGGAAAGAAGGAAGAAACAAGAATGCAAAAAAATGAGGAGAGGCTTAGGAACCTCCAGGACATCTTTAAATGTTCCAACATCAGAATTATAGAGGTACTGGAAGGGGAAGAGAAAGAGCAACAAGTGGAAAAGTTATTTGAATAATAAAGGAGAACTTCCCCAATCTGTCAAAGGAAATAGGCTTACAGGAAGTCCAGGAAGCTCAGAGAGTCCCAAAGAAGCTGTACCCAAGGAGGAACACACCAAGGCACATCATAATTACATTAGCCAAGATAAAAATGAAAGAGAGAATCCTAGAAGCAGCAAGAGATAAGGAGACAGTCACCTACAAAGGAGTTCCCATCAGACTGTCAGCTGATTTCTCAAAAGAGATCTTGCAGGCAAGAAGGGCCTGGAAAGAAGTATTCCAAGTCATGAAAGACAAGGACCTCCATCCAAGATTGCTCTATCCAGCAAAGCTTTCATTTAGAATGGGAGGGCAGATGAAGTGCTTCTCAGACAAGGTCAAGTTAAAGGAGATCATCATCACCAAGCCCTTATGTTATGAAATGTTAAAGGGACTTATCTAAGAAAAAGAAGATAAAAAACATATATAGTAAAATGACAGCAAACTCACAATTATTAACAACTGCACCTAAAAGAAAAACAAAAAAAAACTAAGCAATCAACTAGAACAGGAACAGAAACACAGAAATGGAGATCACATGGAGGGTTAGCAACAGGGGAGTGGGAGGAGAAGAGAGGGGAAAAAGGTACAGAATAAGTAGCATAGATGGTAGGTAGAAAATAGATGGGGGAGGGCAAGAATAGTATAGGAAATGTAGAAGCTAAAGGACTTATGACACATGGACATGAACTAAAGAGGGGGGATGTGGGTGGGAGAGGAATGAAGGGGGGAAATGGGACAACTGTAATAGCATAATCAATACAATATATTTGTAAAAAAGAAAAGAGAAACTAGGTTCTTATTATGCTCTTACACTTTGCTAAGTGACATGGGGTGTGTGTGTGTGTGTGTGTGTGTGTGTGTGTGTGTGTGTATTTAAGCACCAAGTAGACTTTTCCTTGGGAATTATTTTCACCTCCTCAACTTCTTATAAATGGGTAGGAATATAATGGAAAGGGAATGGTGTATATTAGGCACTGCTGGCTGAACTTCCACTTGGAATTCTCCCAGGAGCAGCAAAAAGGCAGTGTTGAGTCATCCTAGAAATCAATCAGGTAAGCCTTTAAGATCTGTTGATCAATTGCAATCAGCTTCTTGGGAAACCCTTTACCAATTTCCTCTGCTTGCCCATATTTCTTTTCTTCTCCAGAGCTACTGTCCTAACATTCCAATCTCCTCTAAACCAAAAAGTAATCAAAAGGCTTTATTTTAAATCTACAATTGAATACACAGGAATATACACACATGTATTGAATGCCATTTTATGTATTAATTCATATCTGATAATCTTATTTCTTTAAAACAAAATTTCTTTCAACTAAAATACAACTAGATTTTTATAGGTTAATTTTTTAAACATTTGTGTTTTCAAAAGTTTTATTTATTTATTTTTAGAGATGGGGAGGGAGGGAGAAAGAGAGAGAGAAACATCAATGTATGATTGCCTCTTGCATGTCCCACACTGGGGACCTGGCCTGCAACCCAGGCATGTGCCCTGACTGGGAATCAAACCAGTGACCTGTTGGTTCACTGGTCAGCACTCTATCCACTGAGCCACACCAGCCAGGGTTATAGGTATAACTTTCATGCAGCATGTGTGTAGTGCTTTGGGTATAGTATACATTCAGTATGTAATGGTTGGAAGAAGAATGAATTTACATTGCACAACTGCAGAACTTAATGTTGGTTAATTGCAGTGAGAACAAAAAGAAAAGATAGAGTTAAATTGAGTGTGATGGTTGGGGGCTCAGCCCTAATCAATACCAGCTGGGTAAATTCTTGGGCATCACAAGAATTTAAGTATTCCCAGCTGAGTTGCTTGAGAATAGAAATGAAGTGTTATTTTATTTTGTGTTACTTGGTACCATGTCAAGTCTGAAGATACTTGTTCAAGTGCAAGAGTATCCAGGAAGTAGGAATACTGGAACCTTCACTCTTCAAGGAAATTAGGTATAATTCATATTTGTAAATTTTTCAACTCTTGTTATCCTCAATCACTCCAAAGTATAAACGAAGTATTCAATTATCTATCTCAATTTACATATCATAACATCATACTGCTGGCACTAAAATCCAGTTCCAGACCCACTCTTCTTTCTACTATTGAATATCACAGAAACACAGATTGATAGAAAGTGAAGGATCTCTAGAAATGACCAAACCTAATCTTTTTTAAAAATGAAGAAAACTGAGGTCACAACAGCAGCAAAACTCCTACAAACAGACAAATGACCTGATGCCAAGTCCATGTCTTTAGAGGTCACTTTCAACATACACATTGTATTCATTTTTGCCTTTCTGAAAATCTAGAGGTCTAAAAAAACCTCTACAGCTTCTCTCAAGCCAGAGGTCCTCGTTTACATGCAGCCAGAGGGGAAGTTTTATTTGGCGCACAGTGGTTTCCTGCCCTCTCCCCACCCCCGGAGATTTAGGAGGGTGAAGGGTGGTAAGCAAACATTCTCATTAGTTATTTGGTAACCCCCATGGCACAACTCTTTTATTCTAGAGTTCAGCTACCTTAATGAAGAGAAACTTACATGTTTTCTTGATATTTATTTATTTCCTCACCCCAAGATATGCTTATTAATTTTAGAAAGAGGGGAAGGGAGCAAGAGAGGGAGAGAAACATCAGTGAGAGAGAAACATCCATTGGTTGCCTATCGCATGCACCCTGACCCGGAATCCAACCTCCAACCTGCAACCCAGACTTATGGACTGAAAGCGAATTGAACCCTCCACCCTCTGGTTTCCCGGACAACGCTCCAACCAACTGAGCCGTACCAGCCAGGGCCAGGATTTCTTTCTTTTTTTTTTTAAGAAAAAAAAAAAAAGAGAGAGAGACACAGATTTGTTTTGTATGTGCCCTGACTAGGGATCAAATTCTGCAACCTTTCAACTGAACAACAGGGTCAAGGCGAGGTATTTTGATGCGGTAGGAAGAGCACAGGATTTTGAGTATATACCAGCTTGCATCAAATCCCGACTCTGCTACCACTTAATTAATGCAGCTTTGGCCAGGACACTTAACTTCATTGAGCCTTGGACTCCTCATCAGTAAAATGGAGATAATTCAGATTTTGTGTAGGATTTGAGAGGAATGTATGTCTGGCAGACAACCAAAGATCGATTAAATATTTGTTAAATGAGTGAATAACACAGTCGATACTCAATGAAAGGTGACCATGCACTGCTGGGTAGTGCTATCTCCTGGGGAGCTTCACAACGGAAGGCTCTTCTCCCACTCTGACCTCAGAGGGCTGAAGCTCAGCCCAGGGTCCAGCCCATACCTTCCCAGCCTCAATCAAGTGCCAGGTCCAGGGTCCGCAGGGGACTTTCTGAGCCACGTTGCGTAGCCCATTAGGGTACTATGGGCTTAGAACCTTGTCTCGTCTCTCTCTTCCCATTCCTCTCCTTAGAGTCAGAGAGAGCCTTACAGCAATTCTCAGCCCTAAGACACAATTCTTCTATGTGGGGGGGACCCCCTGCCTTAGTGTCCAGCAGGAATTAATCATTTCGTTTTTGCCATCCTTTTTATCTCTCGGTTTTCAGGTTTTCGTTCAAGCTTAGCGGCGACACTACCTTCTCCTCCGTGGCCAAGGCCACAACCCGTCTGCTCCAGCGGCCCTAGGACGATTACGTGCAGCACGGTGGACCACGTTGCCTAGGAAACTGGGGAGGGGCTTAGGAAAACGTCAGCCAAACGCCTGGTTTGCGCAGGCGCTCGCGTCGTAGCTTTCACTATCGCGAGAATCACTTCCCGGAAGTTCCACGTCAGTCAGTCCGTCGGTCAGCGGGTGGGTGAGTCTCTTCAGGGACTTCATTGCCGGTTTCTAGTGACGGCGTCCCAGTTCGGACTGACGGAGCCATGGTAGGTCCAGACCCTGCAGGAGGGAGCGAGACCCCTTTGTCTGAGGCCAATGCATGGGAATCCTGGTCTGGGGCCCGCGGTAAGAAGCGGCTTGGGCTCCCGCTGTGGCCGCCGCTTCAGGCCTTGTTGGGTCCTAGTCCAGTTTGTGTTCGTGAGGAGGCGGTGGGACCCTGGAGACTGGGGTGGTTTACGGGGAAGCGATACCTGGAATTGGGCCGGGGATTCCATGACTCCACTGGTGCTTATGGCCTTTGACGGAGCTCCTGAAGTCTGCAGCGGGGTCCGTGGTCATGGTTCAGTTTGGAAGTACAGAAGGCTGTAAATGAACTTCGTAGAAAGCTTTGGCAAAATTACCTCATTCTGCCTTTAAAACAGTGACAGCTGCTCTTACGCTGTGGTTGAACTTAATCCTGGCATAGTGTGTGTGCTGACCACAAACTACGAGCTTAAGCAGATGAGCAAAAAAGAAAGTAAATAGAATGTATAAGGAGTCAAAAGTGGGGTTCCAAATGCTTTGAGATTCTGGCTTAGGTTTCTGAGGGGAAAAGAAGGGTGAGAGAGTTGTTTATCAAACTGGCCTGCTTTTCTACATTTGCAAATCTGGTGGCTGGTAAGAATGGCAGCACTTTTTTTTTATTATCACCCTCTCCCTCAAAAATGCCCTGAAATACTTTTTCACAAGAGTGTTATAATTTTTAAAAAAGTAGTGTAAAATATTATTTTTGAAAAAAAGTAAGAAAGTGAGTATTTTATTTTAGTTTAAACATTTTCCAGCCTTTTTTCCTTTTTCTTTTTGCTTGTTATGAAGCACAGGTTCAAAGACTTTGGAGCTAGAAGAACTTCAGAATTAATAAGTTAAACTTCCTCATCTGGCAGTTAAAAATAAAACTTAAAATTAAGTTTGTAGGAGGCTAATTGAGGCAATTGGAAATACAACAGAGATTGATTCCTAGGGCAAGCTGTTGAAAGTTACAGATACTCCCAGAAAAATGCATAGAGAAACACCATGTTGCATAAAATTTCAGTGGGCTCACTCATGGACGCCCTGCCCACTGGTCTTATCTGTGAACTTTCTTGGGTCACCAGGCTCATAGCCCCTGAACAAGACTTCAGGCCTTTCAAGTCATATCAACAACGTACTCAGGGTGGGGTCTGCTGTGCTTTCAGTAATGGACATTTTTGGGAAGGGCCCTTGGCTATGCCTAATTAAGTTTTGTTTTGTAATCTGTACATTAAAGAATATATTTCTATAATTTCCTTCATTTTAACACAATTTAAAATCTTTTAAGATACAAAATGAATTCATTTATTCACTCATTTACTAGAGAGTGTTTACTATGTTCCATGCACTTCGCTAAACTTTTGCCTCCTGATTCTCATTACATCTGGGAGAGTGAGTTATGAACAAACAGTAGGCCAGGCACTGTTCTGTTTAACACTGAATTTATTTCCGTAACACTAAAAGATAATTGTGTTATCACTCTTTTACCTGTGTTGAGCCTAAGAGAAGTTAACTTGCTCTCTGTTGCACATTTTAATGAATGCTGGAACTGAAATTTGAATTCAACACAATCCTCTAGACCTGGGCTATACTGTCTATCTTAAACCCCTGTACCCAAACACAGGCATACTTCATTTTATTTTGCTTTTGCTTTATTGCGCTTCACAAATACTGGGGGCAGGGGGATTGTTTGTTTGTTTTTGTTTTTTACAAATTGAAGATAAGACCCTCTACCAGCAAAAAGATTACAACTCACTGTAGGCTCAGATGATGGTTAGCAGTTTTAATTGTTATGTATATTGTTGTTGGTTTCTTTTAGGCATAATGCTGTTGCACACTTAATAGACTGCAGTATAGTGTAAACATAACTTTTCTGTGTGCTGGGAAACCAACACATTCATTTGAGTTGCTTTATTGCAGTGGTCTGGAATCAGACCACACTATCTCCGAGGTATATCTATATAAGGTGCTATGCAGATAAAGACAAATAAGCAGTGACCCTGCCCTTAAGGAGCATCTACTCCAGAAATCAAAAAGGGACATGTACACATTTTCAAAGGTTAAAATTTAATCTGTAGGGCCCCAAAGGAAATGCTATTGGCTAGGGTAATCAGAAAGATCATAGTGGTGGAGATAGCATTTCAGCTGAGTCCTATACAAATTCAGCTTTTGGAAGATGGAGGGAGGCATTTAGAGTTGAGGGTACAGTGTGAGTATATTAATCTTTGTATTCCAGAGTGCCTGTGCCTAGTACAGTGTCTCATTCAAAGCAGTCACTTACATGTTGAGAGAAGTATAGCAAGAGCTCTTTCTTGGCCGTGCTTTTGAAATGGATTTGTGCAGTAGGGGAAGGTAAAGGTACCGTAGGATATCTCAGTCCCCTGGACCACCTTCTTGTAGCATCACTTTTGCTCAGTAATCAATTATTTAAAACACTTAGTGATAAACTATACACAATTTGTAGGTGTCTAATTTCCTCAGTAGAGGAAAAGTATGAGATGTGCTGGCTTAGTGAAAGTCCCCACCATGGTTCCTGGTACATAATAGACACTGCATGTTTGTTGACTCAGAAGAGATCAGAAAAAGAAAATTTGTGATGAAGCAAAATTCAGAAATGGATCAAGTAAAAGGCCATGCTTCCTTGAATAAACAAAGATTGTGAAGATGGTGGTTTGAAAGTAGAAAATTTGAGATGGAGAGGAAGGGATGACAGTGGAAACGTTTTTCGTGGTGATGGTAGAGAAGATCCAAAGAATTCTAATCTTTTGAAGTAAATTAAGGGGTACAGGTTGGAGGGTATAAGTAAGGGAGGAGTAAAGTAAAATAAGGGGTACAAGTGTTGCTACAAGTGGGTGAGGAGTGTATAGAAGTAGGAACAAGGTTCAAAGCAATCAGTGACCTAAATTTGATACAGATGCAAAAAGATGAACAAAAGCCTTGTAAGGTGTTTGTTTTGTTTCAGGAAATTATCTTTGCCAAAATTATCCAGTGATCTTCATTTTGAGTTGGAAAGTAACCTTAAATCTCTGCCCCATTCATGAACATCATGGAAGTTCACAAAAATAAAAGTTTGACAGTAGCTCAACTTGCCAGATAAACTTGCAGTTTGTGTTTAAGAGCCGTTGAAGGGGAAATACATTTTAAATCAGTCTTCCTCAATTTGCCTAAAGAGAATTAAGACTGCTGCTGTAAGTCACCATGTATTTTATATGAAAGTTTTCCTCGAATGGTATCTTTGAAAGAATTAAGAAAATTGTTATTTAAATCATTTTTTGTTCTGTGGTTTAGATGAGAAATCCAAGTTGAAAAGGCAGGTTTATTGATTTGAGAGAGAGAGAAACATCAGTTAGTTGTTCCACTTATTTATGCATTCATTGGTTAATTCTTGTGTGTTCCCTGACCAGGGATTGAACCAGCAACCTTGGCAGAACAATGCTCTAACCGATGTTAGCTACTTAGCCAGGTATAAAAGGCAATTTTAAACTATTAGTATTTTCTGGCTTGAGAGAGTATTTGAGTTCTTGTTTAAAATTGTTCTGCTTTCCATTAGGTTCCTGCAAACTAAATCGATTAAAGTATTGTAACGCTTCCATTTGCTCCAAAGGCTTTCATGGACATAGATATAATTCATATTGATCACACATTACATTGTCTAGCATTACTGTCAAAATAAATCTACTTTCTCCGAAGAACTCTATTTTTTTTTAGGTATAATTGGCATATGGTGTTATATGAGTTTCAATATATAATTGAAATATAACAATAATCACAATATAGTGATTAGATATTTGTATATACATCTTATGAAATGATAACCACAGTAAGTCTAGTTAATATTCATCACCATATATAGTTACAAAAATTTGTTTTTTCTTGTGATGAGAATTTTAAGATCTACTGTCAGCAACTTTCAAACATGCAACACAGTGTTGTTAACCATAGACACAGCACTGTGTGTTACATCCCATGACTTACTTTATAACCGGAAGTCTGTTCCCTTTGACTTCCCCCGTTTCACCAGCCCCTGCACCCCAGCTCTCGCGGCCACCAGTCTGTTCTCTGTGAACAGATCTGCGAGTTTGGGATTTTTTTTTTAAAGATTCCACATATAAGTGAGATTATACAGTATTCGTCTTTTTCTGTCTGACTTATTTACTTAGCGTAATGCCCTCAAAATCCATCCATGTTGTCATAGTAAAGTTTCATTCTTTTTATGGCCGAATAATATTCACTGTAGTGTGTATGCATATAAATTGTATTTCTTCACCCATTGATGGGTGCAGATATTTTTCTGAGTTGGTGTTTTTGTTTTTTTCAGATAAATACCCAAAAGTAGGATTGCTGGATCATGTAGTTCTATTTATAATTTTTGGAGGAACTCCATACTGTTTTTCATAGTGGCTGCACCAATTTACATTCCCACCAAGCGTGATAAGGGTTCCCTTTTCTCCGTATCCTCACCCACACTTGGTATTTCTTGTGTTTTTGATAGAGCTGTTCTAACAGGTATGAGGTCCTATCTTACTGTGGTTTTGAATTGCACTTCCCTGAGAGTAGGGATGTGGAGCATCTTTTTATATACCTGTTGGCCATCTTCAGCAATATGTCTATTGCTGAATATATGTCTATCCCCAGTCAGCAATTGTCTTCTTCAGCAATATGTCTATTCAGATCACCTGCCCCCTTTTAAATTGGATTGTTTCTGTTTTGTTATTGGTTAGTATGAATTTTTAATGTTTTTTTTTGCTATTAGCCCCTTATTAGATATATGATTTGCAATTATTTTCTCTCATTTGGTAGGTTTCCTTTTAATTTTGGTGGTGGTTACCTTTGTTATGGAGAAGCTTTTTAGTTTGATATAGTCTCACTTGTTTATATTTACTTCTGTTTTCTTTGCTTTTGTTGCCAGATTAAAAAAATTGCCCCTAAGACGGATGCCAAGGAGCTTTTTGTTTTATGGTTTCTGGTCTTACATTGTTGTTTTAAATCAATTTTGAGTTAACTTTTGTGGGTGGTGTAAGATGGGGGTCCAGTTTCATTGTTCTGCATGTGGCTCTCCAGTTTTCCCAGCACCATTTATTCAGAGACCAGCCTTTCCCTATTGTGTATTCTTGGCTTCTTTGTCATAAATTACTTGCCCACATATATATGTGGGTTTATTTTGGGCTCTCTATTCTGTTTCATTGATCTATGTCTGTTTTTATGCCAATACTATACTGTCTTGATTAATATTGTGATTTAGGGTTACTAAGACTTCATGACTCTTTCTTAATAATACTTTCTTATATGACATTAATGACATGGCCAGAAATGGTGATTTAGTAGATATTTTATGTTTATTTACCAGATAATCGATAAACCAAGGGTTCTCAAAATGTGGTCCATTATCTCATAGGAGTTCCCCATATTTTTTTTAGGAGGTCCACAAATTATTTTCCTAATAGTAAGACACTATGGGCCTTTTTCCCTGTGTTGATATTTGTACTGATGCTGTGAAAGTAATGAAAGGTAAAACTACTGGTGCAGTGTCACCAAATTCTAGTGATAGTGTATTCTTCACTGTCACACAGTTTTCTTTTTAAAAAGCCAGTTTCATTAAGAATATCATTGATGAAGCAGTAAAAAAAATACTACTTGTATCACATATTAACACTTGTATATACACCTTCTACATTATTGTGTGTGGTGAATGGGAAGTATGCATAAGGCACTTCTGCTGCATACTGTTGTTTAAGTTGCTAGCTTTACTTGCAACAACGGCTGACAGTGTTCAGACCTGATTGTTTGGCAGACATTTTCTAAAAGCTGAAAGAAGTCCCTGACAGTATTTTTTGATGATGAAAAAATAAGAGCTTTCTCGTGTAAGTTAGAATTTTAGAAAAGTTCTATCGCTGACCTTAACAGTTTTCTAAAACTTATCAGTTGAGGTCGATGGTGATATTAATACATGTGATTTTGATACTGTATAATGCAGTATGGCAACATTTGGAAGATCTGTGTAATTCATTGAACCAACATTTTCCAAGTAATTGATGTATGATGTTACAAAATGATGCATGGATCTATTAAAAATACAGACTAGAACAATAGGTTTTAAGTAGCAAAGTGTAAAAGTTCATTTGGCCCTGGATGGCGTAGCTCAGTGGATTGAGCACAGGCTGTGAACCAAAGCATCACATGTTCATTTCCCAGTCAGGGCACATGCCTGGGTTGCAGGCCACAGCCCCCAGCAACTGCACATTGATGTTTCTCTCTCTCTTTCTCCCTCCCTTCCCTCTCTAAAAATAAATAAATAAAATCTTTAAAAAAAAAGAGTGGGAGTTTTCTTTTTAAAAAAAGTTCATTTGTATAGTTTCAGATTTCACACAGCAACTAACCTTTAAGAAACTACCACTTGTTAAGTTTTGGTGTGATATCAAAGAAGTATATCCACAGTTATTTGAAAAAAATGTTAAAATATTTCTTTGTAACTACATATCTTTGTGAGGACAGTTTTTTTTTCCATATACTTCACAAAACAACATATCACAATATATTGAAGGCAGAAGCAGATAGAAGAAACCAACTGTCTCTATTAATTCAAAATTTAAAGTTTTATTAAAAATGTGAAATGTTGCTACTCTTCTCACTAAATTTCTTTTGAAAATACACTTTTCATAAAAGTATGTTATTTAAGTTAACATGAAATGGGTTTATTCTTGTTATATGAAAATGAATGGATACATAAATATTTTAAGTTGTCTCAGTTTTAACTTTTATCATGGTAAATATCAATATATATAACCCACATAAAAATTATTTTTAGGGTCCTTAAAATTTTTTAAGAGTATAAAGGGGCCCTGAGATCAAAAAGTTTGATGATTGCTGCTATACATTTTAAAATTTTAAATATTTATATTTTTTGTGTGTATGAGTGAGGAAGTAGAATTTATGTTGTGAATTCTTTGCCTTGATGAAGATGATATCATTCTGGTTTTTTGTTGTTCTTTTTGATCTACTTCTCCATCCAAACATTTAGACTTGATACTGTGTCTACAGTTTCCTAGAGTAAAACTGAATTGTTTTGTAGGCCTGTTAATGCACTGTTTTTAGTTACAATTTCAAACATATTATTTGGCATAACAATTTACTTTTTTTAATGTTATTTCTTCTTAGCCTCTACGACTTGATATCAAGAGAAAGCTAACTGCTCGATCAGATCGAGTTAAGAGTGTGGATTTACACCCTACAGAGCCGTGGATGTTGGCGAGTCTTTATAATGGCAGTGTGTGCGTTTGGAATCATGAAACACAGGTAGGAATTTTTAAGGCCTTTATTTGAAATACTGTGTTAGACTGTGTTTATAATGACAGAGAAAAAATAGCATATCAGAGTCCAGTAATGCTTCCTCAAATTGGTACAAAGTGTGTTCAGTAAAGAGAAACATAGCTTGCAGAAGGCACAGTTCTAGGCTTCTAATAGAAACACAGTCTGTAAATGTTAAATTCTGATGTAGGTAGTATTAGCTTTTCTTTGAGATTAAGGAAACCAACACCAATATAAGATTACTTGGCTGTGGAAAAGGTATTTAATGGTGTTTACTTTTCCATTTAGTGATTAGTCTAATAGTCTTAAGAATGGAATTTTTAATTTTATTTTTCCTCCAGTGCTTAATATGATATGTAGATAAGTTTTAATCAGCCATACAAATTATAAATTATATCAGAAATATTTGTAGTCAGCTTTTGATTACACATATGAGAATATGCATTTTACAGAATATTTGCCTTAAATGCTTGTTTTGTTCTCTTTCATATGAGTAAATAATGTATCCTTCAAATTAGTTTATCATATTTTCTAGTCTTTCTTGACCACATTTGATCTTTTTCTTCTGAAGTGCAGAACAGATAGTCAGCACTGTACTGTACAAGTTATGTGTCTCTTGTACAGTAATTGTCCTCAGTGTCCAAGGTTAAGTTCTAGAGTCCAGATAAAAATTCACATTTGAGGAATTTAAGAAGGCAGAAATAGACTAAGGGTACTAACATCAGGAGTAAACCTAAAAACCCTGCTAGAGCCTTTTGTCCCTGTAACGAAACAATGACTGCACATTAACACTTTGTTCTCTGCTGTTTCCAAGTGCCTACAATATTACTTGACACATAGTAAGTGCTCAATAATTATTCGTTGAACCAGTGAATAATGAACATTCCATTTATAATTGTTTTACTATTTCAGGATTTCTTTCTTCTGTAATTTCTGATTTTTTACCTTGTGAATTCCTTTTCCTTGATGCAGATAATATAGGTTCTGTTTCATGGTTTTGTTTTTTTATTCTTTTTTGTCTACTTCTTCATTCATATGTTTGAAACCTTTCTGATTTTATGCTTAGCAAATATGTTGATGCTTCCCCTCACCCCCACCATACCTGCTAATTCTTTCTAGGGATCCCTCTGTCAGCTCAGGTTCAGGCTCGGTTTACTTATCTGAGATAAAGATGTTATTTCCTTTCCTACATCACAGGATTGTCAAATGGATTAAATAAAATTAGGTAAATTGTGTATGAGACCTGTGTGTTAGCCATTATTTCCCTAACTTACATTGGGTGTTGAGTGTGCAGCATTTCCCCCTCTTTAGATAGTTCAGGTTTGAGAGTGTGGAAACCAGATCTCATGTCATTTGTATCAGCCACAACACTTAACGTGGATCTGAACATGACTGCTTGTTCTACAGCTGCTTTTCTTTTACTGCTCAACAGATCCCTGGGTTTGTTGGCTCCTCCTGTGAGCTTTTGTGGATTTGTCTGTCATCTTACAGATCACATTTCTGTCTGTTCTCAGCGTCTATATCACAGTCGACTGGTAGCATTTGTACAGGTTGGAATTGATGTCCCCATTTATTCATTATTTGTCTGAAGAAGCTCCTCAAGCCAGAGTAGGCTCAACAGTTCGGATGAACTAGTCCCTATTCTTTTTGTTTAGTTACGTGGTTAATCAATCATTAAGATTGTGCTGTTTTTATTACTCTGTGATACAAAAAGAGATTGAAAAATGATAGTTTGATTCTTCAGAATTTTAAAGAACAAGGAATCACAGTGAGAGAACAAAGAAAAGCATTCATACTTGCTCTATTATTCCTTTTGGGGCAGCTTAAAGGTACATCTAAGTCACTGTTTTCATACTGTACTAAAAAGAGATGAATAGCATTTGTATGGATAATACGTTAAAGTGTACAGAAAAATTATATCCTGAGTTTTATTTTATTTATGGGTTTTATTTTAAAAAGAAACGGCTGATTCATTCAACAAATACTTAAAACACACTGGTGGTTTTCCAGTCACTGTTTTAGGCTCTAAGAATACAAGATTTCCACCCTTGGGGAGCCCAACAGGAAGGATTGATGTTAAACACATGATTTTAAAGGTGTAAAGTTATGAAAGGGGGGTAGAAAGTGCTGTGGGCGGGTTTTCAGGCTGAGGGAACAGGAGGAAAGGTAATTTGAGAGTAGCCACAGATGAGGCTAGAGAAGCAGGGAAGGGCTGGAGCACAGAGGATCTGGAGTTCCATCTTGTGGACATTTGTTTTTTCTTACCTTTTATACATATTTTAAAAACCTGTTAAAGCAAAGCATGATTGATCTGTTTTTTAACTTGACTGTTGAGCTTTCATATTTTTGCCTGACAATATTTTTTTATTATTTATTTATTTTTAGAGAGAGAAGGGAGGGAGATAGAGAGAGAGAGAGAAACATCAATGTGCAGTTGCTGGGCATCATGGCCTGCAACCCAGGCATGTACCCTGACTGGGAATCGAACCTGCGACACTTTGGTTTGCAGCCCGCGCTCAATCCACTGAGCTATGCCAGCCAGGGTGCCTGACAATATTTTTAAATCAGAAGTGGTCTAAATAATTAGATGTTTAAAGTATAACAGAAAAGATTTTTTCAGTTATTTCCCCGTAACTCAAAGTGTATATTCTTGTTAAATTTTAAAGATGCTGGTGAAAACATTTGAAGTGTGTGATCTTCCTGTTCGAGCTGCCAAGTTTGTTGCAAGGAAGAATTGGGTTGTAACAGGAGCGGTAAGTAATTACATGAGTTTCTAGTCGCATTTTCTGAATTGGTCAAAGATTATATAAATGAGTTACAGAATTTTGATTCTTGATTTGTTTTGTAAATTACCACAATGCTTTGAAGCATGGACTTTATAACATGAGCCTATAGTATAATTTTCCGTGCAATTCATAACTGTAATGATAATTTTAAAATTTCCATTTCTAGGATGACATGCAGATTAGAGTGTTCAATTACAATACTCTGGAGAGAGTTCATATGTTCGAAGCACACTCAGACTACATTCGCTGTATCGCTGTTCATCCAACCCAGCCTTTCATTCTAACCAGCAGTGGTAAGAGGTGACCCCTTTTGGTCATGTGCATCTCTGAGTGATTTCATTCAGTGAGACTTGTAATTCTTTACTGCTCTTACAAGTAGAGTTCTAATTCCATACAGCCTTTAAACTATTTAAATCCATTAACTTGCTATTGATGCTGGTTGCTTTTATATTTTAATGAAATAGAACTCTATTTAGAATTTATATAGCAGAATAGCTCCAGTTCCTGTCAGAGAAGACCTGAAGGTCTAGATGCTTAAACATCTGCTGAACAGAAAGCTCATTTATATGTTGATGAGTGAGCTTTTGGCAGATTGCCATATACCCTCCTCAGTGTTACCTTTATATTCAGGCTCGTTAGCTCCTTGGTGTTATGTATAAAACAGTGGACCTTTTGGATCACAATTAAAACAAGTTGCACTGAATTGGTAACAGCTCTTTGAATCATTTTTAAGTTAAAAATTGAGAAGTAATGCACACTTTTTAAATCAATCTTGTATTATAAGAGATATGCTTATTCCTTTAATAGTTACTGCCATCATTGTTTAGTCATACTTACATGCTAATCAAACTTGCATTACTACTCCTTTGTCATTCTGTAAAGCCCAGAGCCTGTCCTCAGTATTTCCATGACATTTTATATTTGCTATTAGTAATTTATCTTTTTATCTCATCTCCACTTTTTTGTAGAGAGTTAAGTTTATTCTTAGAATAAATAAGGTTTTTGAAAAATCTATTCAATCCTGATACTATTTCTGGAAGTCATGAAATGTATGATTTGTGTTAGATCTGCCTTAAAAGGCACAGAGACTGCTTACTTTTGAATGAAAGACATAAAAACTGCAGCTAACTTGAGACTTTCTTTTTGGCCTAGATGACATGCTTATTAAGCTCTGGGACTGGGATAAAAAATGGTCTTGCTCGCAGGTGTTTGAAGGACACACCCATTATGTTATGCAGATTGTGATCAACCCCAAAGACAACAATCAGTTTGCCAGTGCGTCTTTGGACAGGACTATCAAGGTAGGGTGTTCAGGATTTGTGTCAATTAGGGTTATTTGTGAAATACAGTTGTTGTAGGTATTTTACTACTTACTGGCTGCCCAGAAAGTTGTTCCCATCTTAGAAGTTTCTCTCAAAACTTCATTTTGAAGTCAAACTAAGGCTTCTCCTTTTGATCCAGAAAGGCATATTCTGTTTGGAAAAATATTGTGGCAACTCAGTATTCTTCATGAAGGAGTTTTTTTCCACGTGGAAGCACTATTTTAAGACTTATTAAACCTTTGCAAACCCAAAATTTAAAAAATGCCTGTATCTTCTCTAGGTTACTATTTCTTCTCCTTTTTGTGGATTTGTTGTTTACCTCTGCTGATTATGGATCTGATTTTTATTTCAAGTTCATCTGCCTCCATTCTCTTTTTCTTACTCCATTTTTCCATACTGCCAGTTATCCTTCTGAAACATGGATTCTATCTTATCAGTTGCCAGTGTAAGGATAAAATTCCATTGCCTAGTGTGGAATACAAGGGCTTCCAAGACTAGCCTCAGCTAAATTATGAGATACCTTCTATAGCTCTGGAATAGTCACCTTTCTCTGGAGATGCCATCGCTGTTCACAGAATCTTACCTTACTTAACTGTTCCCTCTGCCTGCGGGACCCTTTATCCTTCCTTTTTGATTTATTTTCCTCTGGTGAATTACTCATCCTTCAAGGCTTAGCACAATTATTTACTCTGAGAAGCGCTCTTCAGACATCCATTTCACCTCCAGACAGAGCTAGTCATGCTCATCCCATTTACTTCATTGCTTTTTGCCTCTATTATGGCCTTCACATTGAATAATAATGTGCTTTTGGAAATTTTTATCCCCTGAAATGGTGATGTTTGGGACAGGAACTGTGTGTCACCCACCTCGCTCAAGCAGACATTCATTAGCAAGCAGCACAGTGTCTTGCCTGTACTAGATGCTGAATATGTGTTGCAGTGAATGCAGTCATATTTCTTTTTCCATCACAATATTTAACATCTCTCTATATGCAAAGATCTAAAATGACATATTGCATTAACTGTTGCTTACACATATATGCTTATAGCTGTATAATATTTTTTCCTGTAACTTATATAACATGTTATTTGACAGCCTAATTATTATTAAATGTTATATGTCTGAACATACTAGGGTTTTGACCTTCCTTTTTTTCCTTTCATTGTATCATCCTTGCTTTGACATAGGTTGGAAAGTTTGAAATTAGTTTTAAGCTTTTTCACTAAATTAGGTGTCTTGAGAATAAAAATTGTCTTCTCTTTGGCTGTAGTAAAGTTTGTTGTATACAGTAAGTAATAAACATATGTACTTCCCACAGGGACTCCCACATAGTAGGTGCTCATTAAATATTTGTAAAGAGATAAAGTTCAACACAAATGCTGTAGTGATGTTTGACTAGTTTTCCATACTTTAATTAAGCAGTATTTTTTTCTTTTTAATACATCTCACTAAATCCACTTCCATTAGCTTTACATTAAATCTCTCATAAAATCATTTCCTACCCTTAAATTTTCTCAAAGTGTCACCTGTGGATCACCTGGTATGTCTGTTAAAAATCTAGTTTTCTGCCCTGGCCAGGTGGCTCAGTTGGTTGGAATGTCATCCCATACTCCAAAAGGTCTCGTGTTTGATCCCCAGTAGGGGTGCGACTGATCAATGTTTCTCTCTAGCACTGATGTTTCTGTTTCCTTCTCTTTCTCCTCCCCTTCCTCTCTCTCTAAGAAAGCAATAAAAACATCCTTGGATGAGGATTTTTAAAAAATCTAGTTTCCTAAGATCATTGTTGTGTCACTAAATCATAATCTATATGGATTGAAGCCTGGAAATTGACATTTTCAGATTACACTGTAGTGATTCTGCCCCCTAGAAATTCAGGTGAAGTGAGAAAGGACAAAAACAAATGGGTGGAGAAAAAAATGAATGCTCTTAGCTTTGCTCTCCTGGGCTTTTCGCATTTTTTATACTATGTCAGAGGGGTGGTAGAGCGGTCTTCTGAAAAGCAAGACCCCATATTGACTGGCAGATGCTGTTGCTCTCTGAAGGTCTGGCAGCTAGGCTCTTCATCACCAAACTTCACTTTGGAGGGACACGAGAAAGGCGTGAATTGCATTGATTACTACAGTGGTGGCGACAAACCATACCTCATTTCAGGTGCAGATGACCGTCTGGTTAAAATATGGGACTATCAGGTACAGTTCTTTTATAACTTTACTTGCTGTATGTTAGACATGCTTCTTAATGTTTCTTTCAGGACAGTTCAAACTTGGATTGTTGAACTCTGTTTGTAGCATAATAACTTAAGGCTTTGTTATTCATACCTAAGTTGTGGTCCCAGAATTCCCCATAAAAATGAAAACAAATGCCTATCATGGTTTAAAAAATAAAATGCTATCATGTTTGTTTTTCATTTAATAGTAGAAATTAGAAATTTTAGGCTCTTGACTGCCAGGTGCTCACCGTAGGCATGTAGAAGTCATCACGTGGGGTGCTGAGGATCGCAGTGCATGTGGCTGGATGGCGGCAGCTGGTGTGGGGTTAAGTCCTTGTGAGACCCAGAGCTGCTGGCCGATCACAGAGTTCTGCTGAGCCCTTGCCACCATAGGCCCCTGCCCTCAGCCAGCCAACTGCCGCTGCGAGTGCACACCTTCCCTGTTCTGTCTCTTTGATGGCGTCCGCCTCTGGGGCCATGGTGGAGAATGAACAGATTATGGTCCTCGACCCTCCCACAGATCTCAAATTGAAATGCTCCTTCACAAATGTGGTCACTAGAAATCTTAAGTTGTGAAATCCAATGGATAGAAAAGTGTGTTTCAAAGTGAAGACTGCAGCAACCCGTGGGTACTGTGTGAGGCCGAGCAGTGGGATTACTGACCCAGGGTTGACTGTGACTGTTTGTCAGTAATGCTACAGTCTTTTGACTATGGTCCCAGTGCAAAGAGTAAACACAAGTTTATGGTGCAGTTTTTGCTCCACCAAACATTTCAGATATGGAAGCTTTGTGGAAAGAGGCAATACCTGATGAATTAATGGATCCCAAATTGGATGTGTTTTTGAAATGCCCAAGGAAAATGATAAATTGAATTATATGGAACCTAGCAAAGCTGTTCTGCTGAATGCATCTGAACAAGATGGACCCATGCCAAAACACATGTTGTTTCACTTAGTCATACTGACACAAGGCAACTCATGGAAAAGTGTAAAAGACTTCAGAAATGATGAAGCTATCAAAAGAAACTTGACACTTTGGAAATGAAGGCTTAAAGCTCAGAAAGGTAGCACACTTAGAGAAACTGGGATCAACCTCAGCTGCGTCCTTCAGAGAGAATGTCACCAGTCCTCTTCCTTCACTTGTTGTAACTGCAGCCATTTTCATTGGATACTTTCTAGGGAAATTTAGCTTGCAGTGTGAAGCATGCAGAGTCCTATTTCTTTTATTTTTCTCTTGACCAGAAAAAGAGTTGCTTACCTACCATTTCATTGGTAGTTGGCCTGTGGTGAACTTTTGTGTGTGTGTGTACAGCATCATACAGCCTTTGCCTTTAATGATCTCTTAGGGTTAGAAAACACAATAAAAAAAAGCCGATTTGTTCGGCTACCAAATTGTATATTACCAGATCGTCACTAGCAGATGTCAGCTACACATCTAGTCCTTTATGAAGTTCATAAATAAAGGATTGGTCTTTCTTTGTGGTTTTAAGTAGAGCTCAAGAATTGGTCAGTCTTACAAATATTATTTTAATAATCCCTTTAAATTTTACCTGTTGCTGTTACTTCTTGAAATATTTATTTTGATTGCTAATTCCACTCATTCAGGCAATGCCAAGAGGTATTCTGTGGGGAAATGGCACCTCTTACAGTGTAAATTTTCCCCATTACCTTTGCTAATTTAATGGCAGAATTTTTCTTATTCCCTGTGAGGTGGCTGTTAACTGGGTTTTTCATCCTTATAATCCTGCCCCATGGTATTTAATATAAAAAATAATAAAACTGTTAACAGATTAAAAAGAAATTTTAACATTTTAATTAAAATGAATTCATACATCTTCTAGTGTCATCATTGGCAGACTTCCGTTTGTATTTGAAAACTAGCAGGTCAATGAATAATGTTATGAAATAGCCTTGGTACGGCCATTTAGCCACATAGACTCTTATAAACCTAGTTATGAACTCTTGTTAGCAATAGTTTTTATCTTCACGATTTTGTTAAGTTTTATTTTTTTGTTTCTCACATAAAAATTCCCCCAAGCAGTTAATAAAATGAGGGCTAGAAAACCAGTTTTGTATTTAAATACAGAAAAAAAATCATTAAAGGCATTATTATAGGAATTTGGGGAGAAATACTCAGATGCAAACCAGAGATCTTTTGGGGGTGTGAGTGTGGGTGTGTTTCTGTCTTTAAGTGTGATATTTACATTTGTCTATACTATGATATATGTATATACAAGATAATTCTATTTCAAAATTGTCTGTACTGAATACTTTTAGAGTGTCACAACTACTGTCATTTATATTTGTGCACCTGACAAAATTAAGGATGAGTTACTTGATTTTCACTGATAAAAATGTTTTCTGAAAAAAAACCCCAAAAAAACCTTTTCTATGTCTGATTACAGAACAAAACATGTGTGCAGACACTGGAGGGACATGCCCAAAATGTGTCCTGTGCCAGTTTTCACCCTGAGTTGCCAATCATCATCACAGGTTCAGAAGATGGTAAGTTGGAAATGTACGTTTATTCCTATGCCTATAATTATTACTAAGTGGATATTTAAGTCAGGTAGAACCCTGCATTATAATAGGAGTTTTCCAAGGATTTTAAATATTTTTATTAGAGTAGAATACTTAAACTATAAAAGAGGAAAGGGACATCATCATCCTCATCCTGATGTGTTTTGACTCTATTACTTAGATAAGAGGACATCCAGAAGCCCTAGAGAAAAAGTGAAAAAGCCTGTGCTTTGGAGTGTAAAACCTGGGGTCAAATTCAGGTTCTGCCACTTTGTGGATATGTGGTTTGGGCAAATTATGAATTGGAAATGGACTTACCCACCTCATGGGATTATAGGGAAAGGCCGAGAAGAAATCACATGTGTGAAGTACCTGGCACATAGTATGTACTGTAGCCAGGAAATCTTTTCATTAGTTCCCATTTAAAATTACATTCTTAGTTTCAGTTTCTTATATACTTTCTGTTACTAATTTGCTTATGTTACTTTGTAAAATCACTTACAGACTATAGGTTTTAAAAAATTAAGCTGCCAGGAAGTGTTTTCTGTTTGCATATAAAAGACTTCCATGTGTCTGGTTCACCTGACACAATTCATTGTCGACGTTTAAATTAAAGGAGTATTTCATTCTTCTTTTTAGGAACTGTGCGTATATGGCATTCAAGCACCTATCGCCTTGAGAGCACATTGAATTATGGGATGGAGAGGGTGTGGTGTGTGGCCAGTCTGAGAGGGTCCAACAATGTCGCTTTGGGCTATGATGAAGGGAGTATCATTGTTAAGGTAATCAGTAATTATAACATCTCTCTGAATAGATGGACCCAGGGGAAGCAATTTTCATTGTGTTTTAGTACAGTCATTTTCCAAGTCACCAGTTTCGTTAAACTAGCACTACTTTTATTAAGCACAAGAGATTGAGCACTGGAAGTATGAAGTGGAAGAAAAGGAAGTCAGAACTGTTTATTCTGTTGTGGTTTTGCTTTTCCTTTTCATTGCTGGGAGTCATTTGTCATTCTTCCAGCTTGGTCGGGAGGAACCTGCCATGTCCATGGATGCCAACGGAAAGATAATTTGGGCTAAGCATTCAGAAATCCAGCAGGCCAACCTAAAAGCAATGGGAGATGCTGAAATTAAAGATGGAGAAAGATTGCCACTGGCAGTAAAGGATATGGGCAGCTGTGAAATTTACCCTCAGACTATTCAGCACAATCCTAATGGACGGTAAGCCAAACCAAAGTGTCTTTCTGAGCCTCTGTGTATGTTAGAGCAGGGTTTGCATAGCCACAGAGTATACTCTCCTGCCCTGTGGTGGGCATTCCTCATTGAGCTTTTGCCCTGGCCTCACAATCCTTGGCACAGCTGCAGGCAGTCATACCAATGGGTGGAGCTGGCATGCAAGGTAAAGCATATTTGCCTTCCTGGCCTGGTCCCATCACATAGTTTTGACCAGATACATAGTTTTCTGTTTTATTTCAAATATGTTGGGTTTGTGTCCTTGTCCCCTTTAAGGGCAAGGATCATGCCTTACCCTGAGACTCAGGTACACTCTCAGTATTTGCTGACTCATTGCTCCTAAAAAAAAAAGCTGGCTCTGAAGTGTGTGTATGTGTATGTGTATATCTTTTTTCAAAGATTTCATTCATTTATCTTTAGAGAGAGGGGAAGGGAGGAAGAGAGGGAGAGAAACATTGCTGTGAGAGAGAAACATCGATCAGTTTCCTCTCATGTGCCCCGACTGGGGACTGAACCTGCACCCAGACATGTGTCCTGACCGGCAGTTGAACCGGTGACCACTCCCTCCATCCCCAGTTTCCAGGAAGATGCCCAACCAGCTGAGGCACACTGGTCAGGGCTGAAGTATACTTCAGGGCTGAAGTATATATGTATGTATACATGTTTTGAAAAGGTTTTGGGATTGGCAATAATTCCTTTTCTTTTCTGTAATTTGAACCATCAGTTCTGTTCCTCCTCAAAAATTTTAAATCACCAAACATCTTGTGAGAGAAGAGTTGCTAGTGCAATGAATTTAAGCCTGTGGCGCTTTAAAAATTAATCTGCAGTAGATCTGGGCATATGAGTATTTAAGAAGACAAAGTAGATAAACTAGCTATGCTGCCTGGTTCAATAAATGGTATTCGTAATTATTTGTAAGAAAGTCTTTTTTTGAAGACTAAAAACACATTATATATCTTCCCTTAATATCATAAAACATTTTTTGCTGTAAGTTTCACAGTTCACTTTTGTTAGTCCAGTAGCAGCCACTACTGTATTCTAAATTGCAGCTTTTAAAGAGGGTTGCTTTGCTTTATATCTATTGAGAAAATTTTGACCTTCAACATTCTATTCATACTCATTATTTAAATGCTAAAATATCCTGTTCATTTTGATAAATTTAATAGTCATTGAAAACTGGAGTAAGATACTTGTATTTATCTGAATGATCAGCTTTACTGATCAGCATGGGAGTTTTGACCTGCTCTGTTTCAGACCTGGGCCGGTTCACCCTCCTTAGGCAACCCGCTGGCCCCCGGTCCCTGGAAGTCACCATATTGATGCAGAACTTAATGCAGACACCCAATCAGCATAGTGCACTACAGCCTAGAACTCCTGGCTCAAGCGATTCTCCTGCCTCAGCCTTCCAAGTTGCTGGAACTATAGGCATGCAACACTGCGCCCGGTGGATGATCAGCTTTAAAATGAAGGTGGTCTTGGAACAGGATAGTGCCTTCTTATGGCATAAATGTAATGGGCAAGGTGCTAGGCATCTTGGTGCTCAACCAGTATTGGTTGAGTTATTGAAATCCTCTCCAGTGCATCTCCAGCCATTCTCATCTTCCTGTTCCCAGTCTCCTTTGTTTATAAAAGAAAGCCACTGCAGCAATAACCCCATTTCATAATTTGCTTTTGGATTTGCTGGGTAGAGTATTTAATCTAGCTCTGCATTCATAGACATGTATAACTTTAAAAGATTTTAGGTTTAGTTGTAATAGCTGACTGAAATAATGTTTATTAGAAATATTTTACCATAGTACTGGCTGAGTGGTCTGGTTGAAGCATTGTCCCATACACCAAAAGGTTGCAGGCTCAATTCCCAGTCAGGGCACATACCTCAATTATGGGTTTGATCCCAGTTGTGGTGCATTCAGGATCCAACTGATGGATGTTTCTCTCTCACATTGGTGTTTCTCTTCTCTCTGTCAAATCAATAATAAAAAATATCCTCAGGTTAGTATTAAAAAAAGAAATATTTTACAGTGAATATGAATCATTGTTTCTTGTACATGTCCTCTATAATTCCTTCCCTGGCTTCTTTAATTTCTAGGTTTGTTGTGGTTTGTGGTGATGGTGAGTATATCATCTACACAGCAATGGCACTGAGAAACAAGAGCTTTGGATCTGCCCAGGAGTTTGCATGGGCCCATGATTCTTCAGAGTAAGTACACTGTGTGATATCCAGGCAGCCCTGATTGCATGTGGGTGTTCTGTGTGTGGCTGGGTTAAAGAGGTTCTTGAAGCCCAGTGGATGCTATGCTTTCTGTATTAAAGAAGGGCTCTCATCAGAGCTGTGTGTTAGAAGGTTAGCTGTGCAGCGTGAGCTGCCTCTTCCCTTTATAAATTCAGTATTGAGCTAGCTCATGCAAACTGACCTAATAATTCCGTTAACTGGGGGTCCAGCACCCATTTCCTTGATGGCAACCCATGGTAGAGCCTGGGTGCAAAGTAAGTAGACCCTCATATCAGGTCCCTGGCAGGTGACCTGGGGTGACCTCTGACCTGGTGTCCTGAGGTGTTTCTGCCCCTTTATGAGCTGCCTGGGAGAGATGCTATAGTCCGATGTCATTTTGACAATTTCACTGAATCTTTTTAAAACACTCATTTTCTATGATGTTACCTCCCATTCTTAATAAAACAAATTCTATCTGTATTCAGATGTTCATAAAATGTTCTCATTAAAAACAGGAAAAATACATTAACTCTGAATTATTATACTAGATAGTCATTGCCTGGTCCCTTTTTGATTCCAGTTTGGTGTATGTAATAAGCATTAGGGCTTTGGTCATTTTCAGACCACACACCAAATTACACCTTCCCAGTTCTCTTAGTTTTGTTTCCCCATATTTTGCATTGCCTCTGGCTCCAAGAGTGGATAATTTAAGCCTTAGTATTGTGTAATAATAGGCATCTTTTTTAAAAAACAAAAGATTAACTGAGAAGTTAAAGAATAGTTTTGATTTTTTTATAAATTTCCAAAATATACTCATTTGTGCACAGTTCCATAGACTAAAACGTACTTTGAATGGCCTTACCTTTCTTGACAAACCACTGCCTCTGGTTTGGTAGTTCCCCTTTTCACTTTATCCAGCTGAGACACTGTTCAGCATCTTTTCTGTTTTCAGTACAGCAATTGTCAGTGAATGCTTTTGAATAGCCAGCAGTGGCCACAGCCCCTTTTCAAGGCAGAAGCCTGAATTGTATATAATTTTCTTAAGTTTTTGCCAAACATGGATGACTAGTGAGCCACTTACAAAAGTTGTTTTTTATTTTTAAGTCACTTTTATTGAGGTATAATTTATATAAATAATTTATTTTAAGTGACCATTTCAGTGAATTTAAGCTAATTATAAACATTAACCACCAGTACTATCAAGATAGAGGACATTTCTGTTACCTCAAAAAAAATCCTCATGTTTCTCGTTATAGTCAGTACACAGCCCTGTGTCCCAGCCCCAGGCAAATATCTGCTTTTTTAGCACCATATAGATTAGATTTGTTTACTTTAGAGTTTCATATAAATTGAATTAATACAGTTGACACTCTTTTGTCTGGCTTCTTTTGCTCAGCTCATTGTTTTTGAGATTTATCCATGTTGTTGCATGTGTTAGTAAGTAATCAGTTCCTTTCTGCAGTGGAGGATTCCATTGTACAAGTGTATCACAGTTTGTTCAGTCATTCACCTGTTGATGGACATTAGGGTCTTTTTCAGTTTATAAAATAATTTGTAAGTGCTAGTAATTTGTGTAATAATGTGAAACCCATGTATAATTTGCCCAACTATATAAGGAGTTCACTCAACTCTTAGGAAACAATTATACTAGTGAATCTTCAAATATTTTATATTTTTGCATGGTTTACTACTTAAATATATTGGAAGAAACTTGTAATGTTTGGTGGAATTATGGCTTAGTAGATAATATGCTATGTTTGCCTTCTGTTTTTCCCTCCCCCTGCCCAGATATGCAATACGAGAAAGCAACAGTGTTGTAAAGATATTTAAGAACTTTAAGGAAAAAAAATCATTTAAACCAGATTTTGGAGCTGAAAGTGAGTGTTATTTATATACTACAAATTTTTAGAAGCTTTGTAATAGCTTGAAAAACATCTGCACAAAAACCTTTTTGTTCTTTTTAGGTATCTATGGAGGCTTCTTACTGGGTGTCAGATCTGTAAATGGCTTAGCTTTCTATGACTGGGACAATACAGAACTTATACGCAGAATTGAAATTCAGCCCAAACATGTGAGTTCCCTCCATTGTTTTTGGAATGTGTGTCTTTGTGATGAGCTCTGGGTTCCTGAGACCCAGAAATGTTCTTGAATCCTACTGTCTTTGTCCCATTGTGTCGGGCATGGTGCCATTTACCTCGGGATTACTTAGACACTCAGAATTGTGATATTAAAATAAGGCAATAGGTGCTGGATATTTTGAAAAATATAGAAAGTGCCAAGTGCTTTTCATATTTGAAATGGCTTCCGACCGAGTAAAAAAAAACCATGCTTTGAAGACAAGAAGTCTTGAAGTCCTTCACTTAGAAAGGCTGTTAAAGTTCCCACTCATTTCAGAGACTATTTTCATACTTCATCTGACAATGGCTGTTTAAACTTTAGGTAACTGTCTCTAGTGACATAATTTTTCTACCTCTCAAATTGCCTCTGCCTCTGTGACAGCTTTCATTGTCAGGAAATTATCTGTGGAGACAAATCCACCTCCTTAGGGTCCCGTTTCTGTCTTCAGTAGCACCTACTCTCAGTGGGCAAAGGGGACAAAAATTGGTTTGTGTGGGGTAAAAAAACTTAACTCTTTCTCTCTATAATGTGTAAGTATTTATATATATACATATCATTTAATATATTTACCATATGTGTATGCATTATATGTGAATAAACATATATACTGTAGTATCTGATATAAAAATTTCATAGTGGAAGGTGGATATGAAAACAGTGTCTAAAAAAGTTCAGGTGGAATTGAATTAACACTGTTCTAGAACAGTAGTGAATGGGCTACTACTCCTCTGGTAAATCACAGCACGCCTACTGAACACTGACAGCTCTCTTTCCTGTCTCCCTTAATCTTTCCATTTCTAGGCTAAATAGAACAGCACTGCCCTGTCCACCTTCCCAAATATATGTATATGTTCATTACACTTTAATGTAAGATAAATCTGGGAGAAACAAAGTGTATGCAGTTTATCCTATCCACTCAGAAATCCAAAATAATTTGTTGTGGTTTTTTTTGTCATGTTACAGATTTTCTGGTCGGACTCTGGAGAGCTAGTCTGTATTGCCACTGAGGAGTCATTTTTCATCCTTAAATATCTGTCAGAAAAAGTCTTGGCTGCGCAGGAAACACATGAGGGAGTTACTGAAGATGGCATTGAAGATGCATTTGAGGTAATTACATTAGCACAATGTTAGCTTTGTTTTTAAGTGATCTGAGTTCTTACAGCAGAACTTCACTCATTTTAACATTTTAGTATAGATTAGGTTTGGGAAAACTAAGCATTTAAAGAGTTATGATAAAATGTGAAAATTAAAATCTTGGTTCAGAGATCAGGGTATGAAAGTATTTATGTTTAAAAGAAATTTGTGCTTTGATTTTAGGAAATCCTTAGATTAACTTTGGTGTCTTTCGTTAAGGAAATTAGAAGGTGTTTTGGTCTTAAGACAATTTGGCAGATTGATTTAAGTGAGCTTTCAAATGGTAGAGATAAATCATCCATTGTGGAGATGTCTTGGAAGATGGTATGAAATACTTACTAGCCAATTTCATGTGTGTTAGGAGTTTAGATCACAGCTTTGGCACAACGAGATTTTACATTACAAACAGTCATGCAGGATTCTGTTCTTAAAGGAAGAAAGGAGAGAAATTCTGAGGGTAGATTTTCTTTCTTGAAACAGGATTTTGCTTTGTGTCCCTTATTCTGCCTTATCACCCTTAGTTATAATCATTTTTTTGTTACTGACAGGATTTCTAATGCTGAAGAAGGTAATAATAAACTTTCTCTTCTTCTTGTAGGTCCTTGGTGAGATTCAGGAAATTGTGAAAACAGGGTTGTGGGTAGGCGATTGCTTCATTTACACAAGTTCTGTGAACAGATTAAATTATTATGTTGGAGGAGAAATTGTCACCATTGCCCACTTGGACAGGTAGTATCATTTTGCTTTTGTCTTAAGCACCATAAATTTAAAAGTATACTTTTTAAAAAGCACCATAAATTTAAAAGTATACTTTTTAAACAAAACCTATTGCTGACTTGTAGGGATGATAGGCCTGATTTTTCATTGTTACAGTTTTAGTAGATTGGCAGTTGCTAATCAAAATTACATCAATCTAATGGGAAGATTTTGAGCAGGAGGCAGAGTGTGTGGGGTGTGTGTACTGATTAGGGCTTCTAAATTAGTATCTGTTTCTTGCACAGAACGATGTACCTCCTGGGCTATATTCCTAAAGACAACAGGCTTTATCTGGGGGATAAAGAACTGAACATCGTTAGCTACTCCCTCCTGGTTTCAGTGCTGGAATACCAGACGGCTGTCATGCGGCGGGACTTCAGCATGGCTGACAAGGTCCTTCCCACTATTCCAAAAGAACAAAGGACCAGAGTTGCACACTTTTTAGAAAAGCAGGTAAGAAGGTTTTGTGGGTTTTTTGTATAGTTTTTTTTCTGTGTTTCTTAAAACCAACAATTCAAAAGGATGTTAATATGAATTGGAAAGACTTTATTTCTTAATTGCCACTTATTTCCTTACAGTAATGGAGTTTTTCTGTAAATTTAAGTCATTTGTTATACTCTTCCTTCTCCTTTCTCAGTGTATGTGGCACCTCATGTAAATGTTGGGGTAATTACCAATCTTCCCCTCCTGTAGACTTCTTTTCCATTCTATTAATATTTCCATTTCTGTAATGCAACTTTCTCTTTTACCTGGTTTTATTTTGTTTTTTTTGGTAAAAAAATAAAATATTTATTTTATTTTTATGTATGGTAAAATACACACAACATAAAATTTACCATGAGTGATACACCTTTTTCTTAATGTGGTGTTTTTAAATCAAAATTATATGTGCACAGTTTTACAAGGCTTAAGTAAAAACAGCCCTCCCATCCCTCATTCCTGCTCTCTAAGAGGTCATCACTTTTAATTCTGTTAGCTGACTCTCCTTGTATTTATTTCCAGATTCTGAATAACATGCTTATATTGATGTTTCTCAGCTTTAGGGATTCCTTATGACTTCCCAGTCAGTAGAAGATGAGGATTTACTCTTCTTCCCCACCCACTTCTATCACATGCATGCCATTGCCATTTTCCTATTTCCTTATCCTTCCAATGTAGTTACGTCATGTTTCTGATTGGATCAGTGTCCGATGTTTACACTCTTGTGGCTCTGTAAACACTGTGCAAACCTCGTGGTATAATGTAGCTTTCCTTTCCTGCAACTTGTTTTCCCTGAAATTAGTAATTGTCTCTCTTTTTATACTTTGCTTATTTTTTTAAATGTGCTTATGATTATTCTACCTACTCTGCTGGTTCTTCAGATTTCCTTAAAATCTCCTTCCAGTATGTTTCATCTGCTTCAGTCTGAACTGTTTTTTCTGCTCTCATCATGGATAATCCCCCCTCAGCATCCTGTTGGGTCTGGCCTTGCCTCTCTCTCTGGAGATGGGTCTGTTTCCTATATTCCCATCTTCATTCCTGGTTTACTTCCTAATTCTGCTGCAGCATATCCATGAGTTGTTTTCTGAGAAAGGACTTATTAAAGCAAATAAATTTTTTGTGACCTTCACTACCTGAAAGTGCCATTGATCTACCCTGAAACACAATTGACCATTTAACTGGATGTAGACTTCCAGGTTGGAGGTACTTTTCTTTCAGAATTTTAAAGACTTTGTTCTGTTGCCGTCTAGCTTCTAGTTATTATTGAAGTCCAAAGCCATTTCTGTTCCTGATTCTTAGTATCTGATCTGGGGGTTTTTTTTGGAAGATTTTTTTGGATCTTGCCCCTATTGTTCTGTGATATCCTGATGGTGGGCCTTGCAAGGTGTTAATTATAATTCATTCTGCTGGGTATCAGATAAACTCTTTTTATTGGAAACTCACATCCTTTTGAGTTTAAACATCATTTCTCTGATGCTTTCCTTCCTTTGTTTTCTGTAGTCTCTCTTTGGAATTGTTATTCAAATGTTGGACATCCTGAACTTGTTTTCTCATTTAGTTATTCTTGGACTTTTAAAATCTTGTTTATGAGTAAAGTTTTTCTTCTTTCTCTGAAGATGTGGGTAATAGGTTTTTGTTGTTTTGAAGTTTTCCCCCTGCGTGATAGGCTTCTGTACAGCTACTGCTATTGGTTCATTTTGATCTCCATTTTTCCTGGGAGAGATTCTCGTCAGGTATCTGATGACCCTTGGGCTCTCACTAAAGAGTGGAGGTCTAAGAAGCAGATCAAAAGGTCTGAGTTTGTGGCTGGGCTTGTTGGGTATGGACTTACAATTCGTGATGTTGTTGGGCCATTTGATGGGGGAACCTCGATGTCAGGATCTTCATCTAATGAGTTTGATTAATAACTCCTCGTTTATTCATCTAATGAATTTAATGAGCACTTAACATCGTACCAGGCACTGTTCTAGCTGACATATAGCCCTCATTGACATTTTAGTATTTTTAAGTCATACCCCTTGGGCTGGTTAGTTTACAGAGAAGCTCCCCAATCACCACTATTCTGGGGGCTAAGCAGAAAACAGCTCAGTGTCTCAGAATTTAGTATTTCATTTAGTCTCAACATCCATTTTCATAATCTGTTTTCCTTTTGATACTCAGGACTCTTTCCTCAAAGTGTACATGCAGGGCGTCCCTCAGACCTGAGACCATCTCTAAAGAATAAGCCTGTGTTTTGTGTGTGTGTCCAGGGGTGTGAGGGAGAGGAGTGGGGACCTGTGTTACCTAGCTGCTTCTCACATGGACTTTCAGGCAGTTCTGTTTGTGTTCAGCGTCCTTCAGGAGACACCTTTGGGGATTCTGAGGTGTGAACCAGGTGTGTCTATGCTGTCTTCACTCCTGATGTCGGATTAATTTTCTCTGCTGTTTTAACAGTTTTATACCCTGCCACCAGATTTCCAACTTCTAGAATTTTGCTACTAATGTCTCCTCTGCCTTTTTGTGTGTTGTTGAAAGTTTATGCTTTTAAAAAAGAATCCCTTTGGAGCCCTTTCATGGGGGATATGGAGGAAAACAAAACTGTACAGTCAATACCTCGGTACTCGTCAGCCTCAGAACTTGTAAAACCCTATACTCCTTGCATTTTGATGAGAAAAAAAAATGTTTCGGCACTGGGCGCTTGCTCAGGACTCATCACACTTGCCAGAACTTGTAGGAGCCAGCTTCGGTACTTGTCGGTTTCAGCACTAGTTCTGAGTCCTGAAACGAATTAATGACGAGTACCAAGGTACCACTGTGTTCTGTTTACCTGATTTCATTGGCTCATCCTTGCCTGTGTCTGACTAGTTCCACAGATCTTCATCCCCTACTCTGAGATTCTGTATGGTCTGCCTCAGTGCTAGGGAGGAAAAGGAGTGTTCAGGTTATACAGAACGCCTTGTTTACATTGTACTCATGGGCAACGAGGAAGGGACAGCTTGTAGTAGTTTGGGAAATTAAACATTTTAAACAGGATGGTACAGTCATCCTGAAGATCCTGCAAACAACTCAGAAAGCTGTCCAGCATCTCCATCCTGACCATCCGTAACTGATAAAATCTGAGCTTTTTGCCTAACACACTACTTCCCTAGAGTTGAAGACCCAGCCCATAGGGTAGACCTCACTAGTACTGTTTGTCTGTCTTGGGAGAGAAGCTAATTTAGAAATTACAGTCGTTTTTTAAAACAATTGTTCCTGAAGACGAGTAGAGCATGGGAAAGAATGTTTGCTTGATGAATAAACGGAACATGAGACCAGCACTCAGCATAGGTAATGACGCCAAGTCCGTTTTAGGGCCTGAAAACAGATATTTGCTAAGTGACCTGCAGATGACAGAGAAATGGAACATTTACATTTGACTTCCTTTTCTTTGAGGCACTAGACTAGGTGAACTAAGACCATGCTTAATGAGTAAATTACCAACAGCCTTCTTTTTGAAATGACTCTTGTTCAGTCAACTTGCTAAAATCCTTTTATTCACATTTTTATTTTTTACATTTCTGATTTTATTGTTTTACTTGTGTGTATCTATCATTGGTCACCTTCCATTGCTTAGAGAACAGTAGGCATTGTGTGACTGAAAGTTTCTCTGCTGGGGTCTTATCAGTTAATTTAATGACTCCTTAATTTTTCTCGATCTTCTCATGCATATTTTGTTATGTTACTTTTGTTTGATTCAAGTAATGGGGTTTCTGTGTCAGCAGGGTATCTATTAGTTAGAAAGGGAAATGGATGATTCACTGAGTACTTGTGTATATACTGTGTTTCTATACAGACTACGCACACTTTTGTATACATAAATACACACACACTTTTTAAAATTTGTTTAGGGCTTCAAGCAGCAAGCTCTTACAGTATCCACAGATCCTGAGCATCGCTTTGAACTTGCTCTTCAGCTTGGAGAACTCGAAACTGCATACCTATTAGCTGTGGAAGCAGAGGTATGTACTAGTAACTGATAGACCAACATGTGCTTCTAGTATACATTGTTATTAAAGTTTCCTGAAATGTAAATTAGACTCATTTTAGTGAGGTTATTGCTTGCTTTTCTTTGGTCTCGTTAAAACGTGCATTATGTTAATGTTTGCATAGATTATGTGGATTCTATTGGAGGTATTAGCGTTCTGATTTGTTTAAAGAGTATTTTCAAATCTTATAGGACAGGGGTGTCAAACTCATTTTCACTGGGGGCCACATCAGCCTCATGGTTGCCTTCAAAGGGCCAAATGTAATTTCAGCTTCTTAAAGTTAAGGAGTAGTTTACATTTATACATTCCTAAAATTACATTCAGCCCTTTGAAGGCAATCGAGGCTGGTGTGGCCCCCGTGAAAATGAGGTTGACACCCCTGTTATAGATCTGTTTTGGAAGAGAAGGAATGTGTGAGATAGTAGGTAAACTAGTCTGGGAACTCTTTTAAAAAAGAGAGTGCAGATGTAGCAGTAATTTGCCAATATCCGAAACTACTGAGAAAGATTGTTTTTAAGGAAGGGTTCTGACATTTTGATAGTTTAGGAACACTTTTATGGGTCTTTGTATATTGACGGATCCCAGTTGTGGTTTAAGTCTAGCATTTACTGGTAAATTATTTTCAGATGTGCAAACTAAATTTTAGCTATGTTAAGCTCACCCAAATGTGCTGCATTTTGAATTCTGAAAAGCCACAAATAACAGATATTAATTATTAAGTATTTCAGGACACAAGAAATATAATTTTCTAATCTTAAAAAATGGTATTAAATCACTCATTAAAATGACGGCAATCTAATTACCTTAAAACTTCTATAGTTTTTTGACTAATTACAAAATAAAAATACAATGGGTTGATGATTATTCATGTATCATTAAAACTGATTTGTTTGAATTAATTTTGAATATGTGAATAACTTCCATTTCTTCATTATACATTTTGTCATTCCATTTTATTTTGATTGATAGAGCCAAGTTAATAAGTACAGCTGAATATACAGGGTCTGGCACAAATAATGCCCCATTTAAATTTTTATTTATTTTTTTAAAAGATTTTATTTATTTTTAGACAGAGGGGAAGGGGAGGAGAGAGAAGGAAAGAAACATCAATGTGTGGTTGCACTCGTGGGCCCCCTACTGGGGACCTGGCCTGCAACCCAACTTATGTGCCCTGGCTGGGAATCGAATTGGCAACCCTTTGATTCACAGGCTGGCACTCAATCCACTGAGCCACACCAGCCAGGGCTTACCCTTTTTTATTACAAAATCTTTTATTACAAAATCATAAGCATGTAATTCTGCAACATAACAATATACACTCAAGCACACCAAATGACATTTTATGTGAAATGTTCGAATTAAAACTATAAAGTATTGCACTCATTTATTACCCTACCAACCACTCAAGCAGGCCTTACTTCTGCTGGATCCTGTATATGTGTGTGCATATGTATAACCTCCCACTGTCAGCACAGTATTGCTCAGGATAATAGAATAATGTTGATGTTGGAAATTCAGATGTTTATTTCCAAAGATATTTTAACTTGGAAACTTTCTTACAGTCGGAACAGAAGTGGAAACAACTTGCTGAGCTTGCCATTAGTAAGTGTCAGTTTGCCCTAGCCCAGGAGTGCCTGCACCACGCACAGGATTATGGGGGTCTGTTGCTGTTGGCCACCGCTTCTGGAAATGCTAGTATGGTGAACAAGCTAGCAGAGGGTGCAGAGAGAGATGGCAAGAATAATGTGGCATTCATGAGCTACTTCTTACAGGGCAAGTGAGTATTCACCCAAGGTGTGAAAGAGGTGGGCATAGTAATTAAAAGCACTTTTGGCATTGACTTTGAGGGCAATTTTTGGAAAGGATTGTGAAGAATAAACCCTACACAGAGATCTGGTGCCTAGCCAAATGGTGTAGCTAGTGAGGGGCAGTCAAGACATTACCTTGTTAATAACTAAGGATGCTCTTAGCATAATTGTCTAAATGTTTGATGAAAATGAACTCTTCAGGGAGGCTCAATTGAGAGAAATTTCTCAACATCCCTGTCACTGTCTGGCTGAAACACTTTATGATGGCAGGAGGTTATTTGTGCTGCTCCAGTTGGTACCTAAATGGTTGACAGTTTTACTCAAATCAGGTAATTCTGATGTTTGGCATGGCAAGAATAAAGGGAGATGAAGATGCCGGTTACTCTCAGATTTGAGTCCAATTGTAAAGCGTAAAAATGACCTATTTTTAAGTCTGGCAGTTAGTGCAAACCAAATCATTTCAATAGTAGTTGACCATGCTATGAAATAAAACACAGAAGTATTCATTAACCTTGTCCTACATGCTAACTTTTTAAATTCCATGAATTATCATACAAATTTTGAATGTATTCATATTTAATATTTATGTATTTAATACATATTAGACAATGTATTTTTAAATTTGTATACCTATTAAGACTAGATCCACTCTTCCTTACAATTCAAAAATCTAAAAATATTCTGAAGATTTTTGATGGCAAACTACTGCTTTGATGGCAAAACCTGACCTGAACTCTGAAATACTTGTTACCTTTATGCCACTGGGTGTTTTTATATCATTTAGTTTTTATGTTACTGTAGAATATTGATGTTTCATTTTTATTTGATACCGATATTAGGTAATGTATAGTATATGTACTATATTACCTTTCTGAAGTCCAAAGAATTCTGAAATCTAAAACATACTTATCCAACTCAAAAAAATGAAATTAAGAAAGGAAAAATAGACAGTTGGGTTATTTTCTACTGGACACCACTGAGTCATCCAGCACAGCCCGTGTTGGAGACACTGCCCTGTATTCCTTCCTGTTTTTATTCCCGTATCTCCTGAAGCCTTTAAAAGGTGCTTATCCCAGCTGCCTTAACTTGCCTTGAAAAGCCCCTTTCAGTTCTTAGGAGTTGTTAAAACAAGTTAAAGAGTTTGAAAATGGTCAAAAAGCTTTCTCCCCCTTCACAACACCTGGAGTCCACTGATTGTGGAACACACTGGTGATGGCAAGTTAATGGCTCAGCGAGAGAAACAAGGTGCATGTGTGGGAGTTGGGGAGGGGATGCTGACTTAGCAACACTAAATCTCCATTCTCTTCATGTGTTAAAGCACTGTGTTTATTCTTGGTAACACTGCCTCTCCTTTTTAATCGTTAGGCTCGATGCTTGCCTGGAGCTCTTGATTAGAACGGGACGACTGCCAGAAGCTGCCTTCCTGGCCCGGACTTACTTACCCAGTCAGGTTTCAAGGTATGGACTTGTAATTTTAGGAAGAAATGTTTCAAATAAAAACAGCACATGTATTTAGTCTCCCTTTGGTTCCATGATATCTGTATTAGGGTGGTGAAACTCTGGAGAGAGAGTCTCTCAAAAGTCAATCAGAAAGCGGCGGAATCCCTTGCTGATCCAACAGAGTATGAAAACCTTTTCCCTGGATTAAAAGAAGCCTTTGTCGCGGAAGAATGGGTGAAGGAAACACATGCCAACCTGTGGCCAGCTAAACAGTACCCACTGGTCACGGTGAGTGGCCGGCCTCCTTCGGTGTGACCACAGCGTGAAAGTGCATTCATGACTCAAGATTTTGAACAATATTACATATATTATTGTTGGGATAAAAGCTAGTATCTGGGGTTTAAACCTACTTCACAGATGAATTACAACTTCAAAATATTTCATTACATTACTGCTTTGTTTTCTGATAGCCTAATGAAGAAAGAAATGTTATGGAGGAGGCAAAAGGCTTTCAGCCCTCAAGATCTACAGCTCAGCAGGTCAGTGGAATGCTAATGAGATAATCTTGTTGAGCTTTGTTGCTGAAGTATTAGCTCCACTTCCTAATCCTGATCCATCTTCCCTTGGCGGGGACTTTAAATATGTCTCCACTTGGGCTTTCAGGAACTTGATGGAAAACCTGCTTCTCCTAATCTTGTTATCACAGCATCCCACTCAGCCAACAAAGAAGAAGAGGTATGGCCATCATCCCCCAACTTCCCTCCTCTTGAATGTCTACAAGGTGTGCAGGCCTCTGCATTTTAAATGATGTGATCAGTTTCAGACCAGGGGTTTGGAAAGGGGAAGAGACCCTTTTTGATTGACTATAGGCATACCTCATTTTATTGCACTTCAGTTACTGTTTTTTACAAACTGAAGGTAAGCCCCCCACCCCAGCAAAAAGATTGCAGCTTGCTCAAGGCTCAAATGCTGGTTAGCACTTCTTAGTAGTAAAGACTTTTTAAATTAAGGTATGTGAATTTTTATATATAATGCTGTGCACTTAACAGACTACAGTAGAGTGTAAACATGACTTTTATATGCACTGGGAAACAAAATTGATGTGAGTTTTGAAAAACAAATCTTTATTGTGGTGGCCTGGAACTGAGCCCGCAATAGCTCCATGGTGTGCCTGTATCGTTTCAGTTCTCCTTGGATCATGAATCAGAACTTTTAACATAGTACCATAACTCACCCTCTCCTTCCTCTTCTTTGTAGAGTTTACTTGAACTGGAAGTAGATATGGATAATTTGGAATTAGACGATATTGACACAACAGATATCAACCTGGATGAAGAGATTTTGGATGACTGAATAATGTTCTCCATTACCCAACTGAAAGGGTCATTATTATGGACAAATATTAATCGTCACCCTGACCACGGTGCTGGGCCTCCGAAAAGAAACCCCTCAGATTTTGATAAACTCCCTCCTTGTTTTAGGAGTTATGTAAGTCAGTGTGTTATTCCCTTGTTAACTAAAATAGCCATGGGCGTTTTTTTTAAACTGTCATTAGACCATATATCATAAAATCTTTTGATTAAAGACACTTCAAAGTTTCCTTTCTAAATAATGAAAATAAACATCTAGTTTTACAGTGGTGGGCCAAAACTACACCTCACTGTACAGATCCCACATTCTTTTTTCTTTGCGTCACTAAATCATCAACCACATTTTTTCCTTAACTGTACTGTAATTCTTATAGTATAATTCTCTTAACCTGTTTTCTTAACCTCATTGCATTATTTCCCTCAGTCTTGTGTGCCTTGGGTGTCTTCTGTCTTGCCCTGATTGGAATCTGGGTTTGAAACCCCAGCTCCTCTGACCTCCTTGAGCTGGGCTCTAACACAGAAAGGCATGGTACTTTTTTCCTAATGATACACTTACCTGCTGTGATTAGAGAGATTAGTATTCAGGCATTCAAACACATACTTCTCAGTTATCCCCTTGTAGCCCGGGAAAGTGAGTGGCATAAGTTTTCTTTGTGTTTCTGCTAGAGGCACTATTTGGAATTTAAAACACAAAAGAAATTTATAGGAAACTCCAAATCAGTACCTTTTACTTTTGACAATTTAAACACTTAGATCAATCAACATCAACAGAAAGCTAGTTAGTATTTAGCAAAATGAAATTTATTTGAAAAATATTTTCAGGAAGCTGCAGAATGGCTAATGGATGCTTCTTGATAAGCTTGCAGTGTTAATTCTATATATGCTCCCTTCTGTGCTTCTGTTTTTGCAAAAACCTGTTCAAATTAAAAAAAATGTTTTAAAGCAATTGAACATACACCATTTATAACATTTTTAGTTTTTAGACATCATCACCATTTCTGTAGTAGCAGGTACCAGATTAAGGGCTTTCCAAGTTTCACAGTTTTTTTCTGATTATAAAGCAAAAAGCATACAACAGGGACAGAAAAACAGTATCCCACACAACTCAAACATAAATACCAATTCTTACTAAACACCAGAAGTATCCTAATATGGCTGCCATCTTTCAGGAAAAAAAGAAAAAAATGTAATCATCTAACACCTCTTGCCAAATCAAAATGAGAGCTATTATGTTTAAGAGAAATCTGGAAGATCAGAATCAGCAAACTTTTTTCATTCTAAATGTTATTTTCCAAAAGCATTCTGCTTTTTCCGGCTTATCACAAAATCGGTGTTACTGTTGTAGTTTCTCTCCTCCTGCTCCTAGAGCACAGGTGGCAAACACAAGGCCCATGGGCCAAATCCAGCCCTCCACCTTGTCTCTACCCGGCAGCACCGCTGAGCTCCTTGCCCCTAGTTAAGGAGTAGTTACATTTATACAGTCCTAAAATCACATTCCACAACTTAGAAGGCAACTGCAAGGCTGATGTGGGCCCCCATGAAAATGAGTTTGACGCCCCTGTCCTAGAGTGTTTGTCACTGGTCATTTCATTCCTAATAAACTTTGTAACTGCTTTGCAAATGCACAAGCTAATACTGGGATAGAAGCCAGATACACAAAACCATGTCTATTCTGAATATTAGAAGAGATGGAAGTTATATAATGATCTCCTCGTCCCTTCCTGAAAAAAAATACCAACATTTATAGAGGAGTATGTATAAACTCATGGTTTGAGGGGTCTACAGCTCAAAACAATAATTCACCTAAGGCTTGGTAATATATAAGCCCCGCTGAACAAGAATGTGACCACACTGAAGGACCGGAAGCTGCACTGGAATCTGTGCCACTGTGTCCTCCACCACACTCTGCCACTGACTGTCAGATGACGGTACTCCAGAGAACACGGGGGCAGCTTCCCCACGAGCTGAACTTCTCAGACACACACCTGCAGCTTCTCCCCTGCCACCCACTGTTTCTTCTAGTGTCCAGGCTGAAGATATTTGGAGCTCTAACCACTGTATCAAGACCACAAATCTATTGAGTTCCCATTAAACATAACCTACTTCAGAATTCTTCCTAAATTAATTATCACACAAGAGCCAATGTAGAAAAAGTCATTTTACCTTAATTAAATGTAATCCCTCAGCAGCCTGCTCCTTGGCCTCTTGAGCGGACTGGCCATGTGGATGGAGGATGTGATACAGCTGCACCAAGCTGGTGGCATCATCAGCTCTAGAATGAAAGGGTTTATTGTTTGTTTTCTCCATTTGCTAAGTCCTACAAAACGGTGTGCCAACTCAAAGCTAAATTACATTTCAAGCTTCCTTGGGCCAGAGAAAAAATTTTTTTAATCCTTCAGTTTTATATTTTTAAAAGCGTTTTCAGGTATATTTAGGCTTCATACCAACTCTGCATTAGGTAGGGCAGGAGTCTCAACAGGCAGTGCCCAATTCATGAAGTGAATATATTCTAAAAATGGCTAAATTACTTTTGGAAGCAGCATTTCTCATGGAAACATTCTTAATGGCAGATGATTCCTAGGCCAGCCCACTTCATGAGCAGGTAATGTCCTCCAACTCAGGGCAGGAATACACCTTCATCCCACGTGGGCCAGAGGCTGGTGGTCACAGGAACACGAAGGCACTGCCTTTACATGTTAGCAGTGTCGTCTCCTACTACAGAATTTTCACTGAGACTCTGAGCTAGTGGATAAAGGCCTCTTACAAGAGGCCTAGTAGGAATCCAAGGAGAAACACCCAGGCTACCTGTATATTTAAAAGAACCCATTAGTTAGAAAGAAAAAACATCTAGTGAGGCAAATCAGAAATGATGCACACCAGATGGAGGAAAGCCATGTTCCACTTGAGCAGTCTAACTTCAGTGTCACACAACCGTCTATGATGAAGCCAGAACAAAGACACAATTCAGGATTGTACTTACATTTTCAGAGAGCTATAAACAATGGGTGAAGAGGTGAGGGGATTAAGAAGTACAACCAGGTAGTTACAGAGTAGCTGTGGGGAAGTAAAGTACAGTCCAGGAAATGGAGCAGCCAAAGAGCTTACATGCATGACACAGGGACACAAACAATGGTGTGGGGACTGCCTGAGGGAGTGGGGGAGCTGGGTGGAGGGGGGCAAAGGGAAACATTGGGACAACTGGAATAGCATAATCAATAAAATAATTTTAAAAATAAAAGAACCCTTAAATACACAATAAAATCCTTCCTGTCTTTCAGCAAAAAATCACTATCTTCTCTCACAGTCAGTACCTTTCTACTATTCACTACCTCAAAGCTGAATGGGTATTTAGAAATAACCCTTCTAGTATGCTTGTTCTTTTGAGGTTCTGTTGTGTACTGGCTTCTGGTTCAGGGGGCAGTGAGGACACCCTAATTCTGTGCTCCCCCAGCTATCTCGCTTTGACCTTCCCTCCTTTCCTATCACTTGAGCTGGGGGTTAGGGTGGGGTGACCTGGGAATAGGTAAAGAATTCCTCAAGCTTTAAATACCCTGGGGCTTATCCCAAGGCCCATCTACCCTAAAGGCCCTCCCTTGGGGGAACTAAGAAACCAGATGTGCTCATGCAGTAAACCTTTCCAGGCGAAAAAGTTCAAAAATGTTAATTATAAATCTACTATGCTAGTTATAATGTAACAAAGTCCAATAAACCTGGCAACAAAACATCTCAAATAAAATATAAAAATAAATCCCTTTAGAGCTTCAGCAGGTGGCCCCATAAAGAGCGTAACTGGGTTTTTGTATATTAGAATCATGTTTGTGGCTTCATTACATTCATGATAAAGTATGATGCCTGTGTCTCAATGATTTAGCTTCATACCCAGCCATATTTGAAATTTTGAAAAATTTACACGTTCAGAAAGAGTCTCAATTCAAAACCAACAGTGAGACTTGAGTCTGAAATGTTTGCTGAATCTGTGTTCTGGCCTGGTCTCCATTCAGTGAGGACATGCGCCCTCTACTGGCTAGCCTGGGATTTGTAGCAAGCTCTCCAGTTCACAATTGCCACAGGAACAGTTTTACGTGTGCAGAGTAGGAAAGGTTAACTCAGAACACAAAATTCCTTCCCCACACGCAAATAAACTGCTTCAGATGTAAAGCTTACATGTCATAATGAGTACTGTCACATATTAGTATACTTCAGTAAAGAATTTAATTTTCAGCCCTGGCTGGTATGGCTCAGTGGATTGAGTGCTGACCTGTGAAACAGTCACTGGTTTGATTCCCAGTCAGGTCCCCAGTAGGGGGCACATGAGGGGCAACCAGGCATTGATGCTTTCCTCTCTCCCTCCTTTTCCCTCTCTAAAAATAAAATCTTTTAAAAAATTTAATTTTCAAATTCATATGTTTCTGTGTTGCTCTAATTTCTTATAAAAAAGTTATATTGTTCTTATAGTAAAATTCAGAATGATTACATTTGAAAAACTTTAAGAAAATTCATTCATAGGTGATGTCAGTAATAATGCACCTAAAGGCAATTTAATTTTGAGTATCCTCATGACGGTCAGCCAGCCCCATTTATTTGGGATGAGGGTACGTATACGAGGGCTGTCCAGAAAAAGTCCAGCCATTGTTAATATAACAAGAACGGACATCAATGTAACCTGGAGAGTGGACTGGAGTACACATGTGTGAAGAATGACAACTTCATTGTACTAGTCAGTGGGGGCAGTAGATACTGTTCACTGAGCATGTGTATTTTGTGGCCAACACATTCAAACGGACTGAGCCAGAAGAGCAGCAAATCTGCAGCAAATTTTGCATTAAGCTTGAACATTCTTCCACAGAAACTATTCAGATGACTCAGAAGGCCGCAGCTGTGAGCAACTGGTGACTGGCAGCTTCATCACAACAATGTGCCTGCACATGCATCATGTCTCGTGCAGAGATTTTTGGCAGAACATCAAATCACCCAGGTGATTCAGGCCCACTAGGTCCAGATGTGGCACCCTGCAACTTTTCCCAAAACTAAAACCACCTTTGAAAAGGAAGAGATTTCAAACTGTCAATTACATTCAGGAAAATACGATGGGGCAGCTGATGGCAACTGGGAGAACTGTGTGAGGTACCAAGGTGCCTACTGAGGTGTCATTGTCCTAAGAACAGTATTTCTTGTATTTTGTATCTTCTTCAATATATGCCTTTTTATCATAGTTCAT